GAAGGGAAAAAAAAGATCAGAGGCATCCTGCTCTGTTTCCGCAAAAAATTATTTTCATCAGTGATGTACTCCTTCTGTATAGGACGTCATTTAAACCTTTCAAATCATCTTCCGATTGATGTCAATAAATTACGTTTAAAATTATCTTTTCAGCTTCACTAAAACAGAGCAGTAATTGACGCCTAAAACGTTGATAAACCTATGATTTAAGTTTGGGATCAATCAGTGATGAAGATAATCGATCGATGTAAGCCATAGATTACTCGAATTAAAAATGCGTCAAGATTGTGTCGTTCGACAAAGACTTTTTATGTCAAAGCATCAGTTGAGTTCAGTGGTTGTCTCAGAAACACTTATTATCATCTTGTAGTACTTAGTAGTTTGGACACCTAGAGGCGGATTAGATAAACCATATGTTTGTTTGAAGTTTCCAATTGAAAATGAAAGGGTTAAAAATGTCCTGCTGTGGAAATCTTTAAGTGAGTAACAACATTCATCCCATTATTTAATTCTTTTTCAGTTCAGTCTTGTCACTTCATTTTGGTAGAATTGCAAATAGAAACAAAAACTTTCCCGAAAGCTCTTAGCTGAATTAATATGATTTGACTGTCTTTGACATGTATATGCGCTTAAACCATTGTCATGGCCAAACCTGGCTATTGCGAAAATAAATAAAACCGATCGGTATGCTTTGACGCCCTTGTACTAAAAAAAATTAATTTCCTTATCCCACAAGTTTATTCTTGTAAATAGGTTAAAAAAAAACCTTATAACGTATTATTGGTGTATTCGTTCAAAGAAGATGATATCGCAAGGGAAAGTGAAAAGTCTGAATTTTTAATTTATCAAATTTTTATTTCACTTACTCTGTCAAAAATTAAAATTAGTTATAACATTTAAAAGCGATCCTAAATTTGCTTTACTCTCCTGTTGCTTTGCTTTATATAAAAGTTGCTGTTTCTCAATTTTGCATTTGATTATATCATACTTTTTTTATACATAAAAATCTGATGCAAATGTCGATTCACAACTACATCCAGGTTTGCGTTCCTGAAATACGCTCCAACTTTTCCTAACACAAACCCTGATAAACTGCATGCAAACTGTGTTTGTCTCTGGAAAGCCGGTTAACTCTGCCCTTTGCTATTATTTTAGCTTTTTATAGTAAATCGAGGAAGCTTTTTATTTCGCTGGCTCTCTCAGCGCTGATCTAAGAGAAAATAAGTCTTTAAGCGGACGAAGTAGCCTTCAGTTGGTGACATCACAAGGGCTCATTGCCGACTGTTCGGTACTAAATTTAATTTCCACGCCATTGTTCCTAAACATGCTCCGAAGTATGTTCATAACGGCGCACCGAATGTGTCTCATCTTCCAGCAGTATATCACCGGGTTTAGAGACGAATTCATAAAAACTAGAGTCACTGAGAAGAGATGTAAACTCTTCAATGTCACCGTCGGACCGTAGAATCGTATGGCCGTCACAGAGCACCAATAAGGCGCGTAACAAAATAAAAAAGCTACATACACGTAAAAGCTAACGAGCGCAGATTTTATGGCACTCGATAAATTTGTTATTTCCCTAGGCTGTTCACCGCGTGCTTGCAAGGACTGAATCCTATTTTTATGATATCGCACGACCAAATAAAGCTTGATATAAATTACTGTCGTCACAACAAGGCTACTTATTTGAGCAAAGGTCTGAATGATGATCTGAATAAGGCGCAGACCACTCAATATTATCAAAGAAACAAATGCACTGAACACCCATATTGAAATCACCACAGCAAGAACGCGTTTGTGGGTTACAAGTTCCTTGTATCTGAGATGAAGATTAACAGCTAAGAACCTGTCTACACTTACAGCCACAACACCAGCAAACGAAGCTTGAGAAAAGAACAGGCCGACGTTACTGAACATTCGGTAAGTGAGGCAGCTCGGGCTGTTTCGTTGTAGCCAACTGACCAGTAGTGAAGTGTAAAATGGCTGAACAAACAGACCCACACCGACATCAGAAACAGCCAGACTCAAAAGCAAAGTCTTTGTCATCTTTGGCAACGATTGAGTTTTTCGTATCGCATAGAGTGTTACAATGTTTAGCATAACGGCGAGATAGGTCAGAAAATTATTGAAGACGCAGTTAGCGATGTAACTCCTGCGAAGTTCTTCATATTCAGAGGTAAAGGGAAAATATTGAACCAATGTTTCGCAAAACATAATAAGTACACAAGCAACAGAGCAGCGGAATGGAAAATCCAGCTGATCAAACTTTGGCAAGGAGCTTTAAAACCGCATCCAAATTTTGCTGTTACGGATCGAGACAGCTAGCCACCAGCTGGAGCCACTTAGTAGCTTATGTAGCTCAAGGTTTAAATGGGCGTCAGATGAAAATAAGGGTAGCACCGCTAAATACATGCACAACACCGTGAGCTATCTGATTAATAAGCGTTTTAACTAGTATCAATAGATAAAAGTAATATTCTTTAGTGGTTCCATGCTAACAAATCTCACTGTCTCCAAAAATTGTTGTAAAACTCTAAAAAAATAAAAAGTGAACAACGCCAAAACAACATTTCCACAATGTAAGACTGCCCTGAGGTTATCTATCTATACCTCAGTATCTCCATTTGACAGTTCACACATTACTAATCTCTCTAATATTATCATTTTTAAGCTTTAAGACTTCTATTCATAATTTTTCAATTTTGTCGTTTTCAGAAAGTGAAATATCTCAATGCTTTTCCCTGCTTCCGCGCAAGATGTTAAAGTTTAAGATGTTAAATGAAGCACAATTTTAAAGCTTAGACAAAATTAATTTTTTGTGAAAATGAACAATTATCTTTAAATACAGAAATTGATATAAGTTCAACTAAGTTCTCGTTCCCCGCGGCCAGTCAGAACCCGCGCAGCTGCTGACTTATTTACAAAACATGGAATGAAAGATTATTTAACGTCACGAAAGAATGCTTTTGAACATCTTTCGCCGCGAAGGAAAAGTAAGGGAAGAACACTTTAATTTCCTTCTCTTTGGATTTCATTACTGTCCCGAAGACCCCTGTCGTTGAGCGCAAGGCTTAAAACAGTGATGTAAGAATACAACGAGCCATCTTCCTAATCTTTTTTTTTAAAGGGCCTCGTATTTCCTGTCAGTTGTCGCTAACAGAAATTGTTTAAAATGTCTGGATGAGTACATATCTGTCGATATAAGAAAGTAAAGGTACATCTAAAAGGAGCGCCGTAAAAGGAGTTGTAGCTTTCTTCATTAGTGGCAATTGAGATCATCAAAAAGGCCAAAAAAATAAAAATAACCAGCATTGTCTTGACCTTAAAAGCAGCTTTTGTTCTAAAGTACAAAAAAAAATACAGAGCACTCACTCTTCTTTTAAATGTTTTAACTGATGGTGCAGAAAAATAACCTACCCAATTCAGATATACTCTAATTATTGTGCAGTTCATTGCGATCAGACATGAGCGAGACCAAGAATTGTGATCTTACCGTTACTGTTTATAAATTTGTCAGCCGTTTATTGTCTATCTACGTGACTGACAAGGCTTTTTCCAAGCACCTCACGGCATGTGTTAATTCGTGCAACATTCCTTTCAGTGTTTGCAGCAAAGTCGCGCGGCAAGATGGCCAATTAAATTGTTGCCCGTATGACTTTTCCTGTGATGTACGCTTTGTGCTCCAAGACACTTTGCTTAACAGATACACGATGTGTTCTCTACGTTAATTGTAGTTGACTAGACTCCATTTCCTTCTTATGGCGTCTGCGAGCAACATAAATGCTGATGTAAATCATTTTCGTTCCAAGAAAACAAACTATATCTGCCAATTAAAGAAAAGCCAAGTTCTGAAAAATGAATAAGACCAGAAACGTGACAAAAGAAAACAAAAGGAATGAAAAAAAAGTGAAAAAGAAAAACAAACAAACTAATGAAATTTAAAAATTTCAGAAATTTCTGCACTGAAAACTTATTTGGCAAAACTCTAACGGCTGTCGTTCAACTGCATGGTCTGTCGAATTTAACTCACTGTGGCTAAGTTTTGGCCTCTTAGCAAAAAAAAAATTAAACAGTAATCAACATCTCATTTGCAGTTTCTACGCCAAGAAATATGAGTCGTAAGAGCGCAGTAAAGGTGCAACCGTCCGACTTCTCGGTTTTTCATGAAAATCAGGCACAGGAAAAATTGAAATATTTTATGCAAACATGGACGATAGTCTATTCGCTGTTTCAAATGCAGAAGTCCTTCTAAACTGACTCTGACGACGAATTAAAAGTACCTTTTTTATTTAAGATTATCAGAGTCAAGCTGATGATGATGACTTCCGCTCAGGTTGTCAGCCAACGATTTATGTCATTCACAACAATCATTTTCGGGTGTACCCTCTTAATGGAAAAACGATCTTGACGATAAACAAAGGTAGCCGAGAGTCGCTTCTAAGTCGACTAAATTTGTTGTAAATAAATCATTTTTAACCAAAGAATTAAGATTATTTTTCAAACTCTGTCCCATACCTCAATTTTTTCGGCTCCGTCAAACTTAAGACCCTAAGATCTGCGATATCACCAAAAATAAATTTTCTCAGACTCTGCGCGGACAATTGCTCAGGAGAGATGGTCTAGGAACTATAAGACTGCGGCAATCGTAACTTCTCAGTGAAAAACACGTTGCTATCTGCCGGGATGTCGGTTATTTGATAAATGTCTCTAAAACTCAGCCTCTACATTACTGGAAACAAAAGCAATCAGACCAATCACGTTCAACAGACCAGACCTTATAACATCATCGACTGACAACTACTCCTCACTTGACTCTGAAGATGACTATCGCACAGATAGTCGAAACGTCAGTCACCAACAACAGTTCTTTTCAGAACTACACACACCCGGACGATCACACTACACAAACTACTGATACTCCTGGGTTCAAACCATTTACTTTACTACGTTCACTTGGACGACAGAGCGAACGACTTGCGAACAACTACATCAGTTACGCAATGATTGTCAGACGAATACGACAACAACTCTGGTTCAACCACCGCTGCAAAGACCTTGGTCTCGTTCCGGCCGGACTTCGACTTAGGTCCCCGTTGAACACACAAGAGGCCATCCAGATCGTCAAATCCACCTGCCGACGACTGGTCAAAGCGCGGATTAACGACTGTCACAGAAGACTCAACCACTACAATAACAAATTACAACAACTACTTGACAAACTGAAACAGCAGTTACCGACTACCTTACTCGACACAGTCACAGCTATTGCCGACAGAAGAGCCGACAAAACGAGTTACCAAGCTCGTGACAAACATCAACAAAAACTGACGCGACTTCAACATAACAAAGACAAAAGACGACAAAGAACCGACAACAACTGGGTCAGGAACATCTCTTCCCGTCCCTTAGACAAGACTGAGACTCAAGTACTATCTTACGGACTGAAACACTCAGTGACGCCTAAACGTATACCGTCCGAGTCTATTGTATCTAGTGTTGAGGCGGCTCTTTCTCGTCAACGAGACTTATCAGAACCTGCCAAGGACAACATCAGAAGTAGAATTGCTTCCACGATACAATCAGCCTCTATAACTGATAGCAACTTAACCAAAGACGAACAACAAGCACTGAAACGACTGAAAAACGACAAGAACATTGTTATACTACCAGCCGACAAAGGACGTGTTACTGTTGTTATGGACAAGACTGACTACCATGACAAAATGGACGCACTTGTTAACGACAAACAAACTTACGAATTACTTAAACGTGACCCGACGCCAGCACTACAACGCAAACTCAACAACAAACTACTTACGCTTAAAAAGACTAAAGCCTTTGACACTCAACGCTACTACCGGCTGAGGTGCTCTGTACCACAACCACCTAAACTTTACGGACTACCGAAACTACACAAACCTGGGATACCTATGCGACCTATAGTCTCATTCTGTGGGTCCCCGACGTACCAACTGTCGAAATACCTTACGACGATACTGCAACCACTGACTGACAAATCGAGACGTAAACTACAATCAACTGAGAACTTTATTGACGCTATCAAAGACGTACAGATACCTGACGACTACAAACTTGTGTCTTTTGATGTGAAATCACTGTTCACCAGTATTCCACTTCAATTGGCTCTACAGTGTACTGAAACCGCCATCCAACAGTCTACTGATGCACTACCATTACCGACAGAAGACATTATGGACCTACTTAACCTCTGCCTTACATCGACTTACTTTCAGTACAACGGGAAACACTACAAGCAGTTGCACGGAACAGCTATGGAGTCGCCGGTCTCCGTTGTTGTCGCAGAAATTGTGATGCAAAACATCGAGGAACGCGCCCTTGCAACTTGCCGACAAACCATACCGCTTTGGTTACGCTACGTTGACGACACATTTACCGCCGTACACAAAGACGAAATTGACGCTTTTCACAATCACCTTAACGAACAAAACACCGACATTCAGTTTACCAGGGAGATCGAAGAAGACGGCAAGCTTCCTTTTCTCGACTGTTTGGTAAGCCGAAACAACAACGAACTACGAACAACAATATACAGAAAACCGACGCATACCGACAGACTTCTTGACGAATCATCCTACAACCCGACTTCCCACAAAGCTACGACTATCAAGACATTGACAAGACGAGCGCAACTTGTTTGCAACACACCGGACAGTTTATCTGACGAAAACAAGTACCTTGACCGCGTTTTTGACAAAAACAACTACAACACTGACTTCATTAGACGAAACACTCACAGAGTTACCGACACTACAGAAACTAACAGGGACTCCACATCTATCACGACTACAGCTGCTATACCCTACATCAAAGGCACTTCTGAGGCTATCGCGCGGATCCTACAACCTTACAACATTCGCGTAGCTCACAGGCCTATTACTACTTTACGACATTTGCTGACCAACGTTAAAGACAAAGACGAACCCAACAACAGACAGGGAGCGATTTATAAGATCGAATGCTCCGACTGCCAGGCCTCCTACATTGGTGAGACTGGTAGAAACCTTAACACGCGACTAACTGAACACAAACGAGCAACTAGAAATGGCGATGCAAACAATCACATTTCTGAACATCACCGACAAACTAATCACAGAATCGACTGGGACTCTGCTAAATGCTTAACCTACAGTACAAACTATTTTCAACGACTGACTCTGGAAAGCTGGTTCACTAACTTAGAACAGACGCCTCTCAACAGATGTCAACAATTACCAGCACCTTACAAACGACTCATTAACGACGTGAACAAACCGACAAACAGACCGACAAACAACAGACGGATCGAAACCGACCAATGACTGTTAACAACTCTACACGAGTCTTCCAGCCAATCACATCACGGCTAAACAGACCAATCACGTTCAACAGACCAGACCTTATAACATCATCGACTGACAACTACTCCTCACTTGACTCTGAAGATGACTATCGCACAGATAGTCGAAACGTCAGTCACCAACAACAGTTCTTTTCAGAACTACACACACCCGGACGATCACACTACACAAACTACCAAAAGACGGGATGTAAATAGGTTTTTGGGTGGTTTTTGGTGGGGCTGTCCTGGTGTACCGGTACCGCGGGGGAATTCCTATTGTTTTCATATTCATACATGGAGTTGTGACGCAGTTCGTTAATGTTTCGTTCCTTTGTGTACTGGTACACGAGGACACAACCTTTTTGGTCATAAATGAAATTAAAAAAATATTTCTCTCCCTTCAAGATACAAGACAAAAACGTCCCAGATACATTCTTCTTCCTAATCAGTTCATATAGCCTGCGACCAGGCCCTTATTATTAATAAATTATCCCTGCAGGACACGCATTTCTTAGCTCGTGGGAAGATTTGAAACAAGTCGGAGAGAGGTTGCCAGGGATCCAGCCATTAATGACGAGGCGCCAGACCTCTTACAGACCTCTCCCGGCCAGCCTTGTTCGGGCGAAGAAAAGCCTGAACCGAAGCGCTAATAATTAAATTAGGGCCTGCTCGCGGACTACAGATCAGATTTTCTGCGTTTGGTAAGCAAAGAAAATAATTTCACCCAAAAAAATTGCGCAAGAATTTATTTTAGTGTACTGATACATTGATGAAAATTTATCTCCCTTAAGACAATGCTTAAAACTTGCTCAGGTGATAAGTGAAATTGAAAATAAGTTGTGTCACCTCACTAGTACGATTTGATAAAACAGTTTTTCCCACATAGCCCCATAGGGTCTGAACATAAACATTCCTCATGGGAAGTTACGGTAAAACCTAAGAAGATACAAGAATTAGCGAGAGGTGCGATTTTTGTTCAACGCGCACGCCGCAATATATTCAAAACGGTGTGTCTAATGTCTCTCATCTTCCAGCAGTAAATTACAGGATTCAGGGATGAATTCAGAAATACCAAAGTCATCGAATAATGGTAGAATTTGATCAAGGTGTGATTCGAACCATACAATGTCACTGCAGACTGGCAGATACCAATAGGCAGATAACAAAGCAGAAACACAAGACACACGTAGAATACACTGACTGCAGTTTTAAGGATATTCGAAATATGAAACATCTCCTCAGTCTGTTCTGATTGTTGCATGCCGTGAATCTGATTCTTGTGGCGTCTCACCGTTAAATAAAGTCGCCAGTAGATAGTTGAAGTTAAAATGACACCGCCAGCATTTAGAAGGATGGAGATAAAAAAATTCACATAGTTTGAAAGCCACAACGTGGCGAAAGAACGAACCAGGGAAAAAACCCAAATTGATATGACCACCAGAATGATGCGCCTGTGAGTTACAAGTTCTTGGTATCTGAGATGAAAATGAACCGCTAAGAACCTGTCCACGCTTACAGCCAGAACATTTAACAACGAAAGCGCACAGAAAACATTTGCACTTAAGAAATAAATTTTATGTTCAACACAGGTTAGATTTATTTGTCGTAACAATCTGACCAGAAGTGACGTGTAAAATGGCTGAACCAGTAAACCAACGCCAACGTCAGAAACGGCAAGACTCGTAAGCAATATTTTCAAAGTCTTTGGTAAAGACGAAGTTTTTCGTATTACGTAGATAGTCACTACGTTCAACACGATGGCAGTAAAGGAAAGAAAATGGTTGAAGACACAGTTGGCGAGGTAAGACGTGTAAAGTTCTTCAGCATCAGATATGGAGGGGAAAAACTGCCCATAAAATTCGCAAAATCTTTCCTTCATACTATTGATTGACTGTCAACGTTTCTTTAGCCATTGCATTGAGCGGTACGAAAAAATGTTTCAAGGTTTCTCAATTCGGCCCAGGTGATCCCTCTCTCGTCTGCTCCAAAGAATTATATGACAAATCTTCTCCAAACGTTATTCTCAGCTCCAGACGGAAAGGGTGAATTATTGTACTGTTCAAAGGTTTCCGTTTATGAAGGAAAATCACTGCGCCTCTCAGTAACATGCGACACGCTGTGGGGCTTAACACCGAAATTGCGATTTTCTTTCATGCTGCGATCAATCATCTTCCAAACGTACATTTAAAAGCAGAATTAACAACATGTACCGATATTCTCCAATCACAACTCAGAAACATGATTACCTTAAGATTATAAAACATGATTGACGGTTACGTACAACGCATTTTCAATTATCTCTCTCGAACTTTATTGTTTGCATGTTAATTGAAAAGAACAACGAATCTAGTAATTGGTAGGTGTGGGTTGAAGTTTCTCATAACCAACGGAACATAAAGAAGTTAGGAGACTTCATAGTTCGAAAAGTAAAAGGACGTCTTACACTTGGCTATTTCTTAAGCCGAGATTTCTAGCTACATGTCTGTGATCGCCAGGTAATTTAACGTTTCAGGTTAGAATCAGTAGAAGTTAATTAAAAAACAAAAAGCAACTAAAAAGATACTTTTTTACAATTCGTTAGATATGCTAATCGGTAACACATCTGCGCTATGTTTAATCAGCTGCTGCTTTTAACATTGCTATTGATTTCCTTTAAGGACAGAAACGCCATCTTCGAGTGTTAAATCTTCAAGAAAAATACATGCCAGGCGTTCAGTAAGTGAAACGGAGTGAAATAGTAAACGGCGCCATAGTAGCTGCAAAGTGAAGACGAGGAAGACTGGGGTCGCGTAGTTCATTACGCGACCCTACTCAAACTTCCCTCGGTTTTTTTTTTTTTTCACCCCTGTGCTACTATTGCACTATGGTAGAGAGATGTTGGGTGATAAAACGAGCAGATCTGCGCAAAAAGGCGGGATATATTCCACCGGAACCGACTTCGAACAAAGTTTGGCTTTTTCAAAATAGCGGCAAGTTCCAAAAGGATTTAGCGGACGACCAGTCAATCTTAGAGGAGACTTTAATTTTGCCAGTGTTTTGTTTTTTTTAAGTAAAAAGGAACATTTCCTTTCTACCAATGTCACTGCGTCGTCGTTGAAGTTTGTTATAGATAAGTTGACAGACACAGAGGTGAATGTTGTGGAGAAAGACCAGGCAGTTAGGGCAGTTCTTAGTGATGTTGAGGTGAGTACGTTTACTGGTTTGTTGACGACGGTTTTCCATTTGCCTTTTTTGGTACAGGTAAAGCTTTTGCCCGGTCATTTAAATCTTTATTTGTTCCATGAAATTTTTAAAAAAGCGCGTTTCCATAATTAGAGTATGCGACCTCACTTGCCTTTTGGTACACTCAGAGCTTTTGCCTGGTAATTTAACTACACACCGAAAGATTGTTCACTAGTAGATTAGCTCTGAGTGTACATACATCCAGTCATCCAATTTTTTTTCCAAACACCTTGGTGCAGACGTGCGTTTATGGTTATTGATGTGAATGTTCGTCGATGCGCCAGCGCGTCATTACTTAAGTGCGCACCTTTGCAACGACAAATGCGTACGTACACAAGCTAACGCACGTTTTACTTGTATGTGCATACTCGCATATGGTTACGCGTATATGTGTATGCACATTTCGTATGCTTGCGCGTATTAAATAGTTTCTGCAAAAGCGGTCCGCTGTATTTCCCAGAAATTTTCTCTCAACTTTTAGTCACATATCTATCTAAATCAAAAGGATATTGAAACCTCTCTTGTGTTTTTAATATATCGAAAAATATTTATACAAGGCTAAAACGGCTTCGGCCCTTCAAGGCACATTCTCATCAGTCGCGAAAACAGTTTATAACACAAATTTCCGAGCATTTCATTTCACGATGTTTTAGCTTCAAAAACATTTCTATTTTCACATGGTTAGAAAAAAAGATGTGATTATTGTTACATCATGTTCTGAGATTGTATCAAAAGTTCTGCTTCGTTTAATGTCTGTTTTCCGATGGTGTTATTAGTTGATAATTCAAGAGTTTCATTCCATTAATCCCGGATTTTGTTAGTTCTTATTTCCTATGCCACGACGATGAAGGAGGCTAAAATGAAACACTATTTACCCTGGCCTTAGCGAATGCTGTTAAATGGTGTTTGAAACCTTTCATTTTCAGCTCGGGTAAGAGCTATTGGGAAACCGAAAGCGGAAGGGAAAAAAAAGATAAGAGGCATCCTGCTCTGTTTTCCGCAAAAAATTATTTTCATCAGTGATGTACTCCTTCTGTATAGGACGTCATTTAAACCTTTCAAATCATCTTCCGATTGATGCCAATAAATCACGTTTAAAATTATCTTTTCAGCTTCACTAAAACAGAGCAGTAATTGACGCCTAAAACGTTGATAAACCTATGATTTAAGTTTGGGATCAATCAGTGATGAAGATGATCGATCGATGTAAGCCATAGATTACTTGAATTAAAAATGTGTCAAGATTGTGTCGTTCGACAAAGACTTTTTATGTCAAAGCATCAGTTGAGTTGGTTGTCTCAGAAACACTTATTATCATCTTGTAGCACTCAGTAGTTTGGACGCCTAGAGGCGGATTAGATAAACCATGTGTTTGTTTGAAGTTTCCAATTGAAAATGAAAGGGTTAAAAATGTCCTGCTGTGGAAATCTTTAAGGGAGTAACATCATTCATCTCATTATTTAATTCTTTTTCAGTTCAGTCTTGTCACTTCATTTTGGTAGAATTGCAAATAGAAACAAAAACTTTCCCGAAAGCTCTTAGCTGAATTAATATGATTTGACTGTCTTTGACATGTATACGCGCTTAAACCATTGTCATGGCCACACCTGACTATTGCGAAAATAAATAAAACCGATCGGTATGCTTTGACGCCCTTTTACTAAAAAAATTAATTTCCTTATCCCACAAGTTTATTCTTGTAAATAGGTTAAAAAAAAACCTTATAACGTATTATTGGTGTATTCGTTCAAAGAAGATGATATCGCAAGAGAAAATGAAAAGTCTGAATTTTTAATTTATCAAATTTTTATTTTACTTACTCTGTCAAAAATTAAAATTAGTTATAACATTTAAAAGCGATCTTAAATTTGCTTTACTCTCCTGTTGCTTTGCTTTATATAAAAGTTGCTGTTTCTCAATTTTGCATTTGATTATATCATACTTTTTTATACATAAAAACCTGATGCAAATGTCGATTTACAACTACATCCAGGTTTGCGTTCCTGAAATACGCTCCAACTTTTCCTAACACAAACCCTGATAAACTGCATGCAAACTGTGTTTGTCTCTGGAAAGCCGGTTTACTCTGCCCTTTGCTATTATTTTAGCTTTTTATAGTAAATCGAGGAAGCTTTTTATTTCGCTGGCTCTCTCAGCGCTGATTTAAGAGAAAATAAGTCTTTAAGCGGACGAAGTAGCCTTCAGTTGGTGACATCACAAGGGCTCATTGCCGACTGTTCGGTACTAAATTTAATTTCCACGCCATTGTTCCTAGACATGCTCCGAAGTATGTTCACAACGGCGCACCGAATGTGTCTCATCTTCCAGCAGTATATCACAGGGTTTAGAGACGAATTCATAAAAACTAGAGTCACTGAGAAGAGATGTAAACTCTTCAATGTCACCGTCGGACCGTAGAATCGTATGGCCGTCACAGAGAACCAATAAGGCGCGTAACAAAATAAAAAAGCCACATACACGTAAAAGCTAACGAGCGCAGATTTTATGACACTCGATAAATTTTTTATTTCCCTAGGCTGCTCACCGCGTGCTTGCAAGAACTGAATCCTATTTTTATGATATCGCACGACCAAATAAAGCTTGATATAAATTACTGTCGTCACAACAAGGCTACTTATTTGAGCAAAGGTCTGAATGATGATCTGAATAAGGCGCAGACCACTCAATATTATCAAAGAAACAAATGCACTGAACACCCATATTGAAATCACCACAGCAAGAACGCGTTTGTGGGTTACAAGTTCCTTGTATCTGAGATGAAGATTAACAGCTAAGAACCTGTCTACACTTACAGCCACAACACCAGCAAACGAAGCTTGAGAAAAGAACAGGCCGACGTTACTGAACATTCGGTAAGTGAGGCAGCTCGGGCTGTTTCGTTGTAGCCAACTGACCAGTAGTGAAGTGTAAAATGGCTGAACAAACAGACCCACACCGACATCAGAAACAACCAGACTCAAAAGCAAAGTCTTTGTCGTCTTTGGCAACGATTGAGTTTTTCGTATCGCATAGAATGTTACAATGTTTAGCATAACGGCGAGATAGGTCAGAAAATTATTGAAGACGCAGTTAGCGATGTAACTCCTGCGAAGTTCTTCATATTCAGAGGTGAAGGGAAAATATTGAACCAATGTTTCGCAAAACATAATAAGTACACAAGCAACAGAGCAGCGGAATGGAAAATCCGGCTGATCAAACTTTGGCAAGGAGCTTTAAAACCGCATCCAAATTTTGTTGTTTCAGCCTGAGGACACGTTATGATTCCAGGGGTTAATTACAGCCTTGAAGAGAACTTCGACCAATAGTTAGCATATCCTTTGACGAGACTTTGATATATTGCAGGTGAAACTTTTGCTGTGAGTTGAACTGAGTCAAACGTACCTCCAATATTTCGAGAAATGAGCGTGTTTCAGACCATTATGAGGTTACTTTTGATGTGGAGAAACTAGAACTTTCAATCAGTGCTTTCGGAAGTCGCCTGAATTCGATTTCTAGACGTGGAGTCTCGTTGTGAGTGCGAGGCTTAACAAAAAGCTTTTTAACTCGTACCGATCTCTTTCACTTCTTCCAGTTGTATATCAAGTGATGGCTCAACCTTTACTGATTCTATAAATAGCACGATTAGTGGGTATTATCAGAGAAAGTCATGTTAATAGCAAAATATCCGAATCTAAATGGTTCTTAACACTTATTTGTTTCTTTGAGTAATTAAGCACAAGAAATTAAATGTATGATTTAACCAGTCAAACTTGAAGCTGCTTGCAAATTGATTAGACAAATTTAACTACTTTGTTCATGCTAACCAATCAAAATAAAGGAAATTTAATCTCTCTTATGGGTAGGTTGTCTCATAAATGAACTGGGGTTTCGATGCAAGTCGGTTACTAGCGGTCGTCCGCCGTCCATAAGACCCTTTATATAATTACTGCTGCCTATCAAATTTCTCATATAATTACTGCCGTCTGGATAGCCTTCATACAGGCTCTAATTTTTGGGTTTAGCGTGGGCTTTCTTGCGAGTGAGTTACGAGCCGGCAATGAGGTAAGGGTGGGGTCTTAAAAAGAACCCCCCCTGCAAGCCATTTATTCACGAACGCAACATTCTGAAAGCTCAGGAATGACAGTTAGTTACCGAGTTGTCAACAAAAATTATTGTTAACACCACCCTTTTATGATGCCCAGAATGCCGGAAATTACATTTGCGAGCTTTTAACGGCCCATTTTCCCTGCACAGCAGTCCATTACAACATCGGGGTCCGCTGATGGAAATTGAAAAAAGGTAATTTATGACCTTTTATTTCCTTACCACTGAACCTGTTTACCGATATTAATTTACAAAGTTAAAAAAAAATTGCCAAAATTTACAAAACAAAATCATGAGCTTTAAACATATATATTAGGAAGATTTTACCAAAATTCTGATTTTCTACAACAGAGTTTTGTCCACTTTGTTATAAACGTAGTGTGATAGAGGAATTTGTGTCGGTCAATTCAAGGAGCGTTGTGTTTGGTCAAATTGAAGTTGCATAACCAATAAGAGGGCTTCAAAAGAGTAGTGGTGTTGAAAGCTGACGTTTGTTTTTGTTTTTGTTTTTTTTTTTTTTTGCGCACCTAAAGGATTAGTTTTTGAGCCGTTTAACAGCTAACTGTTAAGATTAATTAAATGACCGTGTGTTCGACGCAAAGGAAAAACGTCTTCTAAGTTTCCTCATACACTTAAATTTTTTATCATTCATAAAGGCTTACGCCGGACAACAGCCGCCTCTCGATGTTACCGAGCCCTGAGGGCGTTCGCATTAAAAGGCATTAATAAAAACCTTTTACGATAAAGATGTTTAATGGCTGGATTAATCTTGAATCGTATCACGAAAAATGTTCACGCCATGAATTGTAAAGGTTCTTAGATACCTACTTGAGTTCTTTTATTTCGAAAGTAGACCTGAGATGCCAAAAAAATTTCACTCTGTTCGAAAAAAAAAAGTAATTGATGTACAATTAGTGAGGGTATCACCGCTCAATCTACTTAAGAAAGCTTTTAAACTGGAAGTATGGTCCAGAAGATATGATCTTAATTTCCTCTTTGAAAACGAAGAAATGAATCAAACTATTAGCAGGGTTTTGAGATTCCAACGAGGAACTCAACCGTTTGAAAATTGTTCTCAAATGTACTAAAACCAACTCGTTGAAAACATCTTGCCAACGAAGCCGCACCACAAACCACAGCGCGGAGATTATTGAAAAAAAGAGCGGCCGTTTGGTTTTCTCCTAATCAGTTCCAACATATCGCTTAGAGATAGAAACATTCTTAAACTTTTAATTCCAATGAGTGACCAAGGCAGAATTCTCCTTACAATATCAATACGATATCAACCAGATAAGCGATGAGGATAAAGAAAATAATCAATTTGGGGATAATGAGTTGATCCAATTCTAAGTTCTCTGAACTAACATCATAAGAATGTATGGTTGACAGTAAGGAGAATTACAAATTCGATCTGGGAGTGAAAGGGTTAAACAAGACTGATCAAAATGGCAGAGACCGTCGTCAAATTTTTAGCACATTTTTTTAATAAACAATGAAGATGACGCTGAACGATTCCTCAGAGCAGTTGGTGTCACATTTTAAAAGGCTACTTTTCCTAATTGCTTGTTTTGCTCAACAAAATCAAGACACCAGGGAACATAAGTATGACAAGTTTACCTATAGGAGGTATGACACACTGCTGATGCGCACAAGGAAAAGATAAAAAGCCACATCTGAGAAGCATTTACGGATCGAGACAGCTAGCCACCAGCTGGAGCCACTTAGTAGCTTATGTAGCTAAAGGTTTAAATGGGCATCAGATGAAAATGAGGGTAGCACCGCTAAATACATGCACAACACCATGAACTATCCGATTAATAAGCGTTTTAACTAGTATCAATAGATAAAAGTAATATTCTTTAGTGGTTCCATGATGACAAATCACACTGTCTCCAAAAATTGTATGTAAAACTCTAAAAAAAAAAAAAAAAAAACTTAACAACGCCAAAACAATATTTCCAGAATATAAGACTGCCCTGAGGCTATCTGAAAGTCGTAAAGTCTGTGAAGTTTAAAATCTTCTTTAGTATAATTTTTTTGAGCACTGTAGTGCATTTTGTGGGCTTAAATGGGGATTTTAGCGGCCTGCTAAAATGTATTTGACCCGCTCGCGCGCTCGCGTGACCAATCAGGCTGTTTTGTTCTCATTTTTTAGTCATTTTTTATTTTCAAAGTGCTCTCCTAAGTGATGATGATAATAATTTAGTTTATGTTTGCGGGCATAAATACGTTTTAAGCCCTTCTCAGAATTAGTCTACCCGTTGCCTAGCGGCTAAGGCTAAAATAACTCTGAGCCAGGCGAAAGACATATTTACGCCCGTGAACACAAATCCTTTTGTTTTATCATCCCACGTTCGTGACGAATCCTCAGTATCTCCATTTAACAGTTCACTCATAACTCACCTTTCCAATATTATCATTTTTAAGCTTTAAGACTTTTATCAATAATTTTTCAATTTTGTCGTTTTCAGTAAGTGAAATATTCTTAATGCTTTTCCTTGCTTCCGCGCAAGATGTTGATTCAGTGTTTTTCTATTCATATACAGAAGGCTATTTCCTTTGTTAATAAAATCAGCTCAATATAGAGGTCAAAATAACTCAAATAAAGGAAATGAATACATTGCCTTTCTCAGTGTGCTCGAGCTCTAGGCTGCAATTTTAACTTGTCGAAAGAAGCTTGTTCTCTTCGAAGGTCTAATCACTAAAAATATATCCGATGAAGCAGCATTTTAAAGCTTAGACAAAATTAATTTTTGGTGAAAATGAACAGTTATCTTTAAATACAGAACTTGATATAAGTTCAACTAAGTTCTCGTTCCCCGAGGCCAGTCAGAACCCGCGCAGCTGCTGACTTATTTACAAAGCATGGAATGAAAGATTATTTAACTCACGAAAGAATGCTTTTGAACATCTTTCGCAGCGAAGGAAAAATAAGGGAAGAACACTTTTATTTCCTTCTCTTTGGATTTCATTACTGTCCCGAAGACCCCTGTCGTTGAGCGCAAGGCTTAAAACAGTGATGTAAGAAAACAACGAGCCATCTTCCTAATCTTTTTTTTTTAAGGGCCTCGTATTTCCTGTCAGTTGTCGCTAACAGAAATTGTTTAAAATGTCTGGAAGAATACATATCTGTCGATATGAGAAAGTAAAGGTATACATCTAATTGACGCCGTAAAAGGAGTCGTAGCTTTCTTCATTAGTGGCAATTGAGATCAGACAAAAAGGCAAAAAAAAAAATTAAAAATAACCAGCATTGTCTTGACCTTAAAAGCAGCTTATATTCTAAGGTACAAAAAATCTTACAGAGTACTCACTCTTCTTTTAAATTTTTTAACTGATGGTGCAGAAAATAACCTACTCATCTCAGATATACTCTAATTATTGTGCAGTTCAGTGCGATCAGAAATAAGCGAGACCAAGAATTGTGATCTTATCGTCACTGTTTATATATTTGTCAGCCGTTTATTGTCTCTCTACGTGACTGACAAGGCTTTTTTCAAGCACCTCACGGTATGTGTTAATTCGGGCAACATTCCTTTCAGTGTCTGCAGCAGTCAAGCGGCAAGATGGCCAATTAAATTGTTGCCCGTATGACTTTTCCTGTGATGCACGCTTTGTGCTCCAAGACACGTTGCTTAACAGATACACGATGTTTTCTCTACGTTAATTGTAGTTGACTAGACTCCATTTCCTTCTTATGGCGTCTGCGAGCAACATAAATGCCGATGTAAGAGGGTCTGAATGGGGGGGTCAAAATGTCGGTTGTCGGTTAAAATTTCATTACTTTGTCGGTTGTCGGTTAAGATTTTTGACCTTTGTCGGTTGTCGGTAAATCTCAATTAATAATTAAAAATACACGTTAATTATTCACATTTATTATGCAAGTTGCCCAGTTTTAAGACTTTAAACTCTAGACGAAGTGTAATACTTGTAATAATTCATTATTTGTTTTCACTTAAACCTCGTTAACGCTGTTTTTTAATTTAGCAACGTGCTCATCTACCCCACTTTTGTTTGCAAATCTAGTATACCGATAAAATTCACCAAAGCTTTTATTATAGAT